AGGAAGGCGAGAAAAGACAAGAGGAAAGAAAAGAAGAAAGGAAGCAGGCAGGCTTCCTTGCGCCCAAGTTGGCACTGGGCGCAAGCCTGTAATCCCAAATACTGGGATGTGGGGGAAGCAGGATCCTAAGAATGAGATCGGCCTGAGGGGAAAACAAGCAATAAATAAACTTCCAAATTGTCTTGGTTACTTTTTTCTTGTTGCTGAGACAAAATACCCAACACCCAAAACGAAGGAAGGAAAGGTTTATTTAGCTCACAGTTTGTGGAGGTTTCAGTCCATACTTGGCTGGCTCCAAGGCAGAAGGCCGCAAAGCAACAAGAGCAAGCGGGGGAATGGCAGCCGAACAGCAGACAGCCAGAGCAAACCGGAGGAATGGCGGCAAGCAGCTTTTTTCTTGCCTTACATTGTAAACAGCCTACCCCCACCTAAGGGGCATGTAGCTCTCAAATAATCTTTGCCCTCCTCTTCCACAGGCTCAGAATGTATACAAAGTAGGTATCCTGGCTTCCTGCTGAGTTACTTAGCCAAACCTCTAGACTCCCCAAGTTGACGCAGTGTTTCAACCATAACACAAATAGAAAAGAAAACAAATAAAACGTGGTGGGCAAGTAGCCCCTTGTCCCCTGAACTCAGTCCCTAGGACTACCAGAAAGAAAAAGGCTGATGAATAAGCCCACAGGGTGCACTGGGGTCTAGCTCAGTAATAGAAAGCTTGTCCCCTTTGTGAAGGCTGTGGGTTTAATCAGCAGTAACACACACACACACACACACACACACACACACACACATGCACGCACACCCACAGGCACACACATGAGATTTCAAAAGTAAAGCAGAGACTTTAGAAAACATTTTGAGTCTCTGTGGAGAGTGGAATCCTGGGACAAAACCAACCCAAAACTGTTCTCCTGTGGTCCCCTAGAGGCACTGTCAACATTTTGAGCTCCCCCATGAAATTTTCGTGTTGTCAGTGTGGAAGTTAGGGAGTGAAGTGACCCAGAATCTCTCTGCATACGCTCCTGTGCTCCCATACCCTTCTAGGTGGAAATCTGTCTCCCCCAGGGAAATTGGAAAGGGGCTAAGGATACTTTAGGGAACCAGGTGGGAAGACGAAGGGCCATGTGAGGGGTAGGGGTGAGGGTGTCCAGGGGACTGGGTCTGAAGCACACTCCTCCCTCCAGCTCCCCAGAATCTGTCCTTGATCCTTCCCTCCTCTGTGTTCAGACAGGGGAAGAGGAGAAGGTCCTCTGAAGTAGGGTGAGGGAGGTGAGGGGTGGGGTGTCAGGAGGCCAGTGCCAAGCCCAAGTGGAGGCCCCAGGAGTGAGCACCAGAGTCACCAAAGCCAGGAGGGGGCAGGGCTGTGAGGAGAAGGGGCTGTGAGAGGACTTGATGGGGGCACTGGGGCTCTGAGGGTCCCTTCCCAATCACCCCCAGGGTGTCACAGACTCTGACCAAGGACCAACCATGTGGGGACTCAGTCTGGGTCCAGGACAGGCTGGGAGCCTGTGCACTTTACCATTTTCCTGGCCGCGGCCAGTTTCTCCTTTCGCGTTGCTTCCAATAGTTCTAGGGAGGGACGCGGAAATGGGTGGGACCACTTAAGCACCGTCCCTTCCATGTCCACTCACTCTCTTCCAATGAACTCTGCTCAGCTCCTCTCACTGCCAACGACAGGCTTAGCCGGGGCAGAACTGAACCCACAGAGCAGGGTGTGGCCTCAGAACTCGACTTCCATTGGTTGAGTGGAATGATGATGCCATAAGACGCTTGGTGAGGCCTCCTCCGGGGGGTCAGCAGGGGTGGGGGGCGTTGAGGTTTGGGGGTGTAGGGGGCTGGGATGGGGGAGTAGCAGTAAAGATGCAGGCACCTGCTGTTCCAGGCCACCCAGGGAGCTGGGACAGGGGAGGCTGGGAGAAAGCATAGGCCAGGTCAAGGTTCCTGCAATGTCCCACTGAGAGCTGTGTACAAACTGTGCATTCCATTCCAACAAAAAGAGTGTACTTTATCAAGAAAAGTTGTCCTATAACAGAAGTCCAAAGAGTGCTTCTTAGAATGGGTGGAATTGAATCTAGATGGTCTTGATCTATAAGCAGGACTCGTGCGCAATGATGCATATGTGACAAACCCTAAAGACACAGTCTGTTAAATAATCCTGGACTGTGGGAGGACGTGCTGATCTAAATGATTGGGCACAGCATCACTGGCATGGACAGCGTGGGGATCAATGTTAAAGTGTTTTATGGTTCTCCACACGCTTCAGAGAATAACTGGAGAGTGAATCTAGACTTTTTCGAGAAGATGTGTTAAAATACCTAGGACCACCACTGACAGAAGACATACAGCAAACAGAAGTCAAAACATATGAAATAAGCCTGGCAAGCCTGAGGTCATGAGTTTGAGTCCCGCTACCAAAAAAAAAAAATCTAAAATGAGAATTGAGTGCAGGGAACAAATTGGAATGAAAAAAAAACAAAATTCACAATCCAAAATACAGAAAGAAGTAGGAAGGTAAAAATAAAAACAAAAATGCAGGCAGAAATAAAATGAATAGAATCAATGTAAATCTACCAGTGATTACTGTAAGTGAACGGTACTCAACTCTACGTGGAAAAGACGCATTGTCAGACTATGTTTTCGAAAAGCAAATTCACCTTTATGAGTCACTGCCTCTAAAACTAAAATGACAAAAATAAGATTGAGAGTAGCATGGAAAAAGATGTGCAGGCATCTGGTAAGGTAAAGCCCAGGAGGCAGCAATTTCAAAGTCACTCAAACTGACTTTGAGGCAGAGCAGTATTACTGGCAGAGGGGGCCACACCCTAATGCGAAACCCTTCATTTCCTCAGGCACTTAGGACAACTGTACATTTGTGGGACCTCCCTTGTCTCTCCTTGATTCCTCCTCTCCTGAGGAGTAGTTAGCAAGCACCAGGACTTGGTTCCTACAATTTCTCTACCATGATTGTTCTTGGTGATCACATTCAGCTCTATGGCATCAAATACAAGCTATGCACTAACTCTGAAAGCTGTACCTTCAGCCAATAGCCTACTGTGAGCTCCAGACTCATCCAGAAATCCATTGTCTCTGTGACATTTCCTTTTGGGTATCTAATAGTCTCTGCAACCTACTCCATCAAAAGCTAAGCCTTTACTCTCACTCCCCAAACATGTGCTTCTCCCAGGCTTTAACATCTCAGAAGAAGGTAACTCCATACTTCCAATGGCTTAGGCCAAAAACAAAAGAATCATCTTTGATAGATCACTTCCTCTCATATCTGAAATCCCAGCAGCAAGTAACATTTCTTGCTAGTAACATGTTTTTCTCTCTCTCTTTCTTTCCCTCGCTTCCACCCTGTTTCCCTGTATTGTGCTAATGAAGATTGAACCCTGGGTTTACTTAAGCCTAGCTTGTTCTTCTTTCTTCCTCTCTTCCTTTTTCCCTGCCTTTGTTTTCCATCTTGGAAAGAAAACCAAAATATGATTAATCTCCACCCAGACTATCCCCATTCTGCTCCAAGCTATTCTCATTTCTCCCCTGGACTGTTGTGTTTGCTTCCTATCACTGGTATCGCTGCTTCTCTCTTTGATCTCCATGTCTACCCAGATCCTCCCAGAAGTTAAGGTCAAGAGAGGAGCAAATTCACACATAATTGGCTGTGTCCAAGTCGGTGAGAGAAAACGAGAAGAGGGGACCAGGAGAGCTGAACACAGAAAAAGGACATGCTGGAGAAATCCATCCCTGATGTGCAAGGCAGACAGCTCATTTCTGTAATATGCCAAGATCTCCTACATAGAGGTAAGCGTAACTGAGATAAAAAATGGAGACAGACGAGGAGTCAGAGAAAGAAACGCAAATGGCCATTTAAAAATTAGTACAATTTGAGAGTTTGTTAATTGCTCTAAAGAGTTTGTTTTACTTCAGCATGCACATGGTAACTGTCATCTGCAGTGTAGCATTCACTTGGAGGTGGGTCCTCTGAGAGGTGATTACATCGTGACTAAATGGAGCCCCAGTGAATGGGATTAGTGCCTTCTAACAGGCCCCAGACAGGTCCCTTGACCCGTTAGCCATGTAAGGCCAGGGGAGGCGCTGTCTAAGAGCAGAAAGCCAGGCTGGTGCTTTCCATTGGACTCCTGCAGAAGTGAGAAGGATGTCTGTGGTGTTTAGAAGATGCCAGTGTGTGGTCCTCTCTTACAACAGCCAGAATGGACCAAGATAAATATTTAAAGTTATTCAAATGACTCCAGGGAGCTATCTTCACACAGATAGGCAGAGGTTAAAAGGCAAATACCAAATGTCTTTACTTATAGGAAAACTGCCCTTCATCTATGTAGGCAAGTTCTGCAATTTGGTGAAAATCTGGCAACTAAACTTAAAATGTGCAATGTATATACATTTTCCACCAGCAAATCACTGAACGGAAAAAACTCATAGAACTTCGTAATATGCAAACAACTAAGTTGAGTGCAACATTTATTTTTTTTAAAATTAGAAACAAGTCCAATGCCCACATAGAGGTGAGTGTCTAAAGCAGGAAATGTAGGAAGGAAGGAAGAAGTGATCCCTCAAACAAATATATAACCTTAGATACGCCATCAAGTTAAGAATTCCCTGAATTCTTTGTTACTGGAAAAAAGCAAAAATATCAATAGTTTCTTCTAATTTTCCTGATGGACACATAATGTAGTAGATGTGGGCTCACAGCAGAATCTATACTTCACTATCGTGTGCCCACCGTGTGTCGCTCGAGGTGTGAAATTGCTCAGGTTGGCCTCTTCTTACTTTCTAGAGTGTACATTTCCATGTTCTTTGAATTGTTTATAAAGCTCATCACTTTAGAGTGCAAGGGAAAAATAAAGGCAATTAACTGTATAGACTACTTGCACTCAGGCAGGCATCACTGTCTGCCCCCGTCCCTTCTCTACCCTCAAGGCCATGAGGTGAAGATGGACTCTGTTCCATGCTACTCAAACCCCACCTATACGTTCAAATGACAAAAGCCAAATCAGACCAAACTACTGAAAGTGAATGGATTCCCTCTTTGCACATCAGTAGTGCAAATCATTCTCATAAAGGCCTTGGTCAAGCTGGTGCTAAAACTCAGTGGCACAGCTCCTGCCTGGCGTGTGCAAGGTCCTCAGAGTGATTTCCAGTATCCCCCAAAAACCAAAAAATCCAGGCCTTGGTCAGGACCTTCTATAGGAAGAGCCACATATTTGGAGGAAAATGATTACTTGGTTTAAGTAGATCCCAGCTTGGCAGAAGAGCATTGGTGGCTGTCCGGACCTCAGTTTTGGATGCTGCTGAAGCTTAGGCCGTTGTGCTCTCCTCAGTAGATGGCTGCTGATTTCCTGGTTGCCATTAATTTCCAGCAGAGCAGGTGAGCTGATTCCTCTTTGTGGCCCTGAGGGCTTCATCCTCACCTGGCAGACACAACCTCCCCCAGCAAACCAGGAGTCAGGCAGCAACACAGGGCTCAGGGGCAGTGTCTTCACCACTGCACATTCATGGGGACACACTCCCCAGCTAGGTGCCCAGCTGCAGCCTGTGGTCTTCCCTCCACTTGATAATTAGTGCACAGTGAGACCCATGGACGACACTTTTCCACTTGTATGTCTAATGTAGCTTTTCTTTCTTTACTTTTCTTTTAGCTTAGAATAACTTACAAAATGCTGCAAAACAGCAGCCCTCTGTCTGTCCCCCATCCATACTTCAGAACTAATTCCAATGTACGTTCAACTCTTTAACTGTTTCTTCCAGCATTAACCATGTAGGTCCTTAATAATGTGCTATGTCACTACTTTCAGGTCAATTTTAGCCATTTAGCTAGTGCTTTTCTGTTAGGACAGATGAGGGTTTTCTCACCAACCCACCTCTCCCTTCCTTTTCTCCATCGAGCTAACAGGGACATATGACACTTCTGTATAACTAACATGACTTAGCACCTTCTGGCCAAGTCCCAGTCTAAGACTCTTCTTTGCAGACAGGTACTAATGGAACATGCAGCCCATTCTATCACATGCTATAAGTATCTCCACTTCACAGATGAGGATCCAGCAAGCTGTCCAGGGCTCTCAAGCTAGGAGGTGGCAGGGCTGAGGTGTGAGGCCCAGAGTGCTGGCTCCAGAATCCGTGGATGTTGGACTCAGTGGGTAGTTTATCTGGTCCCCGAGACCTGCTTACTGAGCACTCACTGTTGTTTTGGGGCTGTGAGTACAACATAAACAGGTATAGAATTCCCAGCTCTTGTGGAGCTGACCTGTTATGTGGACACTGGAAGGAGCAAAGGATGCAGTCGGCAGGAAAGGCCGGCAGCGGTGAGAGGGAGAGGAGGAAGCCGCTGGCTGGTGAGGGAAGGTCTCTGAGGGGGTGAAATTTGGGCAGGTTGAGGTTAGACTTGAAAGTAGAGCTTGATGCACTGAGACAAGCCCATCTGGACCTGGGGCTCAGGGAAAGGTGAGTGGAGGGAGGGAAAAGGTCAGGGAGCTAGGCCTGGGCCCTGGCATTGCCTCTACCAGCCACAGGACACAGAGAAGGAGCAAGCAGGGAGGCAGGATGACAGTCAGGTGTCCAGCAAGCCAGGTAAAGGGTCCCTTAAAGAGAGGGGTGATCCGCTGTGGCAGAGACTGAGGGCAGGGATGCCACCCTGAGGTGGCCCACTGGAGCTGGCCGGGTAAAGATCACGATGACTTCCTGATGGCCAGAGGAGTCTGTAGGAGTCCATATCCTCAGCATCATTGTCCTTCCTCAGAGAGATCATCTCCGGCCCTTGTGCCTCCTGCTCTGCCAGCGCCCCGCAGCTTCTCTCCTCTGTGTTTACGTCCTCAGTGAGAGTTTTGCTGTTCCTCGTGGAATATCTGACCCCACCTGACTGGAATCCCTCCTCTCCTCATGCAGGAGCAGAGGTGTGTTGTTATCCTCGGGTCGTGCGTCCCAGCGTGGTGCTCTGTAAGTACCTACTGGGTGGATGCAGAGTGAGTCCCCAGGAGCCAGGCAGGGTGACAGAGCCCACCGTGTTTGAACTCCACTGGCATACAGTGGGCTGTGGGAACAGGGCTTTATTTAGGAGTAAGCAGTCTGGTGAGAAGGGATGACAAATCTTGTTGTGGAAATGCTGACAGGATGCGCCGGAGTATCTTTCATGAGCTGATACAAAAGGAGGAGTAAAAATAAACTATGTTTTAGAACAGTTTTAGTTTACATTATAATTGGGATGACAGGATAGAGAGTTGCCATACACCCCACACCGAGTTTCGCCTGTGATGAACATCTTAGACTACTGACTCATATGCTGAATTAATATAGATACATTGTTATTAACTAAGTCTGCAGTTCTTATGGCTCCTATCTAGCTGTCCTCTAAAGGCCTCATAGGCTCATGAGTGGGATTTGTGGGAGGTGCCTGAAACATGGGTGTATTACTGGCTTATGAGCATCATAACTGGATTAATCCACTGATTGGTTTAGCATAGTTGATGGCAATGGAATTCCTGAAGAGAGACTTCACATCCCGAGCGTGGGTGCACCAAGCATTAGGTTTGTAGCCTGGATGGAATCAAAGGAAAAGCCGAAGGAAGGCCGCTTTCTGCCTGCCCTGCTATGGACTGTCTCCGGTGCCATGCCGCCCTGCCTCAGAGCCAGCCAACGGCAGACTGAAACCTCTACCAACTGTGAATTAAAAGAAACCTTTCTTCCTTTAAGTTGTCTGTGTCAGGTATTTTGCCCCAGCAATAAGCAAGTAACCAAGGAAATAGTTTATGCTGATTTCTTTAGATTTTACCAAATGCCCTTTTGCATTTTTGTGTTCTGTCCATGACTGTCCGTTCCATATTGCCATCACATCTCCTTAGGCTCCTCTGGGCCAGACAGTATCTCAGACTTTCCTTGTATTGAAGACCTTGACAGTGTTGAAAAGTACCGATCAGATACAGTATTGTGTAGAGTGTCCCATATTCTCTCCTGTTATTTCTTGGATTTAGCCTTTTGGGGCAGAGGAATCACAGAGGTCAGTTTGCCCCATCACACTGAGGGTTCGTACTAGCGGCCTGATCTGTCTCTCTTAGTGTTGATCTCCATGACCTGGCCAAGTAGTGCTGTCAATTTTATCCACTACAAGTGACTCATTTCTTCCCCCTTTCTATGCTCTGCCCTTGGGAAGGAAGTCAGTGTGATCAGACCATATGTAATGAGCAGGGGCTCTGCCTGGGAGCTTTGTCCCCTCTTCTCACCTTGTCATTGATTTAATCACTTACTTCCATCAGGGTGAGCTCATTGATACTAGTACTTTATATTTTGGGTTCTGATCTAAAACTGTTTTGTTGCTCAGATTGTCCCAGTTTGTTTCTGGATCCTGCAATAATTCTGTGAGGCAGGTGCCATCATCATGAGACAGTGATCCAAGGAGACCAGGGATGAGATGGGGTGTGAGACATAGACCGCGTTACTGTCCAGGCTGCCAGGCAGATGGACAGTGGTGAGGCCCCTGCTCGGGTCAGTGCGGCCCAAGCTCAGTGTTTCCTCCCACACATTCAGTGCAGTCTTGCTTGCTGTTGTCCTCAGACCTTCACCATAACCTCTGTGCTGAGACAACTGCTACTGAGCGAGTCCAGAAATAACCAACACACTCAAATTACACTTTCCTTGACAGCAGCCCCAACTTTTCCATATGGGGGAGATGACATTTCTTCTACTAGACTTATTTTACCCTCTCTTTTTCCCATCTAAAAGTGTTTGTGAGGCCAGTGTGGTGGCAAATACCTGTAGTCCCAGTACTTGGGAGGCAGAAGCAGGAGGATTGCTGCAAGCTCAAGGCCAGTCTGGGCTATGGAGTGAGTTCACAGCCAGCCTGAACTACATAGCCAGACCCTGTCTCAAAAAAGAAGTCAGTGATAAATTGCTCTCCTGTGGCCTTGAAGTCCGCTCATGTCCAGCAAAGCAGGCAAATAGTCAGGCCTTCCGGGGGGTGGGGAGCCTGTGGCTGTAGGAGAAAGCCCTCCCCAGTCCCCAGCAGCTTAGTGTTTCTACCCCAGCCCCACCCCTGCGACAGTGAGCACAGCTAGGGTCCAGATCTTGGTTTCCAATGCCATTCCCCAAACATGAAACTACAGCTCCTTGGAGAAGTGACTGATTCTGGAGCTGAAATAGGAAATCACAAGCTGAGTATCAGGAGAAAATGCTGGGGTATGTCAACGCCAAAGCATAGTGGCACCTAGCAGAAAACTTCTTGATAAATGTTCTCTCAGCATGGTGAGGCAATGTGCTACTGCCGGGAGTCAGAATGAGGTGCCTCCTAGACCTGCTCATCCTCCAGAATATGGCAGGAGGGTCTTGCCCTCCACCACACCTTCCCCCAGCAGAAGGCTCAGAGGAGGAGAGGGTGCACAGACTGCAGAATTGTTACAGGGACTGAATGGGCAGGGGCCAGCAGTGACCGGGTCAGGGTGAGACCAGAGGCTGATGGAAGGGGCCTGTCTGGGGGAGAGCTGTCCCTGGGAGGGAGAGATTCTTCCAGCTCCATGTTGGGGGTTTTGGAGGGCTTTGGGGCTAGATGCCAGCATGACTTCAGGGGTCCCATGGGCTATGGAGGCTGTGTGGGGGACGATGGGGAAGCAGCCATTCCCTGATGGAGCCAGTGACCTCAAATGCCAGCCTCATAGAACACAGCTTCCCTCTCTAACCAATCCCTCGGCCAGAAGGAGGCTGTCTGCCTCAGCACTGCCCGGTCTTATTTCTGATGGCTTTTTTTGCAGGGGCACTTGGGCACTCATGCGCACCCAGAGACTGCAAGCGTGGGGCATACTTGCTCAGCTGCCGCATACTTTATTGTGCTACGTGTGTGAAGTGATTGCCTTTCTTCCTGTGTGACCCACTTAATCCCGTCCTCTAGCCCCAAATATGTGATTCATTCTATAGAGGCACTTTCCGGTGTAATGACCTTGCTCTCCGGTATCGGTGAGTGAAGGACTCACTGTGTGTGCGGGCAAGGACGCTGGAGAGGCACACTTACACTTTTTCTGTCACTGCACATGAGCTTCCCTGGCCCCTATTTTTAAATGTAGTCAAACCTGGCTGAGGGACAGTGTTATCTGTTGTCCCCTGTTTCTTATACTTAGGGCAGTTGTACTTTGCAAAGAGAATCAGAGAGATGATAAACTGGCAGGCAGACTCTGTGGAGAAGGGAAGGGCTCTGGGGGCGGAGGGACATGAGGGACAGAGGGGAAGAGGAAATAAACAGGATCAGCATGTGATAAGGGTATATACCAGTTCCCCAGGACAATTTGTGTATTGCAAACAGGAAAAAGAAAAAGAAAATGCAGCGCCACCAGGGGGCGTCAATGGCAGTCTGGTTTCTGAGGCAAGCCAGCCTGAACGTTCTGTTTGTTTTGTTTGTTTCCTTTGTTTGACTTTCCCCCATGACACTGAGCATCAAATCCAGGAGAATCTGACCCCTGAGCTACATCCCAAACTCCGCCAATGTATGTATTCATTGAGACTGGTACATAATACTCTAGGATTCATAGGATCCTCCTGCCTTCACCTCCGGACTAGCTAGGACAATCCGCTGAACAAATGCCCATGGCTCATTTAACTCTTATAACTGTTTGATGAGTTCAGTGCCAGTAACACCCTAAATGGACTGCTGTCACATCAGAGGCACTTGGGAGCCAGAGGCAGTAGGATCACCGCGAGTTCAAGGCCAGCAAGGGTTACATAGTGAGTACAAGATCAGCCTGAAGTATACAGCGAGACCATGTATCAAAATACCCCCCCAAAAAGATGAAGGCACAGAGAAGCTGGGGAGGGAAAGCCTGTGTTTCGGTCCAGCATCCAGGGGCCCCAGCTGTCAGTGCCACAGAGGAGAACCAGGTGGAGGAGCCTTCTAGGTCCCAAAGGACCTCAGTGCTCCGACTCAGAGCATCGCTACACTGATCTGAGAGACGGGGGTGACACGTGACAGAGAAGAAAAGCAGCGCAGAGGGCGAGGACCTGAGGGGGAGAGAACCAGAGCAGGCAGCTGGCTTGCTGTTCACTCAGGTGCCTTCTCAGTCCCAGCGGGCTCCACTGCAGGGCCGGGTCATCCTCCTTGCCTTCAAATCCGAAGGCACTGCGCCCCCTGCCGGCAGAGAACGAAACTGCCACTGTGGGTGTCCTGAAAGGAGCCTTGGACCAGCTGCTCACCCCTGGACAGAACAGTCATGAGCACCTATTGGGCGCAGACCCTTCTGGGGCACAGCACGGGAGCAAAGCCCTTGTTTGTGAAGCGCCCAGGCAAGTGGGAGGTAGAGGCAGAGACACCCAGGGACAGGCCTGAGTGCTACTTGCAGAGTCCCCAGAAGCAGCTCCCTTCATCAGGGAGACAGAGCAGCCCTGGACACCTGATGCAGCAGGAAGACCTCCTGGCTGGGGACAGCAGGGCGTGGCCCTCAGGAGGAGAGAGGGCCGCAGGGTGGGAGGGAGATGGCTGGGATCCTGGGCCCAGCTCTGGGCACCGATGGAGGCCAAACAGACGCAGCCTGGGGGAGGCTGACCCCGCGGGGCGGACTCTAAGGCCTTTGTGCCTGTGCCCAAGTGTTTC